CCCCCCCACCACCCCACACTGCTCCTACCCTCCACTCTGTTCAGCCAGATGCTGTTGATACAAGTTATATAACTCATATATGAATGCATGTAAATCCCTTTGCATCCACATGGAAAACATTATTATCTTGGCCATGGTTCCCCCACAAGCCCCCCCCACCCCACACTCCTCCTGCCGTCCACCACTACTTCTTACTTGACTGAATGTAAAAGCCCTTTGCATCCACATGGAACGCTATTATCTTGACTTAGTTTCTGAACAGTCTAAAATGGTTTCTGAATCGACTGTTTTGGTTTCTGAATCGGCCGTTTTGGTTTCTGAATCGGCTGTTTTGGTTTCTGAATCGGCTGTTTTGGTTTCTGAACCGGCTCTTTTGGTTGCTGAATCGGCTCTTGTGGTTTCTGAATCGTAGTTGCTGAATCGCCTGGTTTGGTTTCTGAATCGGCCGACTTGGTTTCTGAATCGGCTGTTTTGGTTTCTGAATCGGGACTCGCTTGGTTTCTGAATCGGCCCGTTTGGTTTCTGAATCGGCTCATTCGGTTCCTGAATCGGACCATTTGGTTTCTGAATCGGACTGTTTTGGTTTCTGAGTCGTAGTTGCTGAATCGGCTATTTTGGTTTCTGAATCGTAGTTTCTGAATCGGCTGTTTTGGTTTCTGAATCGTAGTTGCCTGATCGGTTGGTTTCTGAATCGCTAATGACCCTTGGTTTTGTTTCCTCCTGGATATGAACCGGAAGTTCCGAACAGGAAAGTTGTAACTGTCATTTCTCTTTCGTTTCTGAAGTCAATCCTCTTTCGTTTCAGCCCTCAGCCCGCGTCCTGCAGCCCTCGCTGTGCTATGGCGCTCATAGCTTGGCTTCGCTCCTGAAGGCGGCAACAAGCTTCGCTCCCACGGCTTGAGCTAGAAATTCACCCCACCCGAAACTCGCCCGAAACTCGTGAGATTTCCCCCGTCCTTTCGCCACTGCTTCACTCTCATCTGTGATGTTGCACACACCTCTAGACTGCAGCACCCAAAGACCAAGCTTTCCACAAAATGGTTTCAAGATCGTGCATTCTCAAGGAGGTGAAGCTTAAAATGTCTCAAAATATTGACCTCCTTACTCCTTACCTCGAGAACGAATACACAGTACGACGTTGCTCAGTTTCATGCGAGAAGACTTGTGGTCAGCAGTGGGCCAACAACAAACAATGACACCTTTCGTGCCTGCAAGCACTTTTGCTTCTCTGAAGGGCTCGGCTTTAGTATGTTTGGTATCTTCTGAATGTGACTTGGCTCCACTGATCATCCTGAGAACACATTTCTGCTAAGGATAAGGATGACCAAGGTCTCATGGTGCCAAACGTCACCAGGTGTTCCGTGGCGGGGCTGAGAATCTTCGGAGAATGAATGGTGAATGTGGGGAAGAATGTGCAGAGTTTAGGTTAAACTGCGACGCAGTTCTGACGTTTCACCTTCCGCTGTTGCGTGAAAAACGCATACACTTCGGGTACTAACGAGGCAATACAAATATAACCTTGCATGCAAGGTCAGTCTCTTCCAGGAATAGGTTCACCCTATGAACCTTTAGTAGGGTGTGTAGAACTTGCCACTCTCCAAGGGTCCAACAAAAAATATTGAAAAGAAACGGAAGAGGTAAAGAGCCCCTAGTAGCCTCCTTGCTCCTAGTAGCGATGCCCTTTGCTCCTAGTAGCTTCTTGTTCCTAGTAGCAAGGCCAGGAGCCCCTAGTAGCGTTCTTGCTCCTAGTCTAAAAACTAAATCAAATAGAACATGAACGACACCATTCTAGTCTAAAAACTAAATCTAAAACTAAATCTTCCAGCTCCACCTGGCCTCTTCCAGCTTGTCTGTGCATCCAGTCCGACAAGGCAACGGGGAGCCTTCAACCTCAGCGCGGTCCGACATGTTTTCTTTGGTGCCACCGTCCCAAACCACCTTCCGTCTGGAATCAGAGAGTAAATAGAACATAGTGTTGATGAGCTCCAACCTATAATAGCGGTTGGCGATGGCCTCCAACCTACTAGCGATGGCTTCCAACAAAAAAACGATTGTGCTGTGGAGTCCATTCTTCCTGAGATTGTGGACTTGATGACTCTACTTTGAACGAGCCGCCCGTGCTGGGGACCGGTAGTCAAAGTCGAAGGCACGCGCACGTGCCGGCGATGGGGACGCCAGGACTGCCCGATTGTGCACAAAATCATCAACAAATGGACGATCAGCTTCTCGAGCTAAAAAGAAGAACAGAACGCAACTTCAAACTTTATGCACCCCACCGAAAGAGTTTTATAATGTATATCCCTACCCATACATTTGAGGCAACCAAGAAGGCAATTCAGTCAAAACTAAACCCCTGTGATTCCGCCAAAAGTGGTTTGATGGTTGTAAAGGTGAGCGATTACGGTATCCGGTAAGGATCGAGTGAACACCTCAAAGTATTGGCAAAATATGACAAGATCCCACACACGCCTGTGGCAGCCATGCTGCTGTCACTGCCAACCGACTGTCAAAAAACTGATCAAATGTCTGCGGGTGAAATTGAGAATAAAACACGACGAATGGTTTAAGCACAATGATTGGTGATAGTCCTTGCACCAGCAAATGAGAGAGCAGATTTATAGAATACCTTCAGAACGCTCCCCTTCTTCACCTCTCATGAAATGTATGACGTGAAGGAAAATGTCCTTTGACTGTCATTGTGTGTGTGCTTTATCTGTGACAATCCAAGTGCTTGGCGCCAGCCCCTTGTTGCAGCCGTCAATTCGGGCTGGTCTAACATTCGATGCAAAAGCATCCTAAGACCCAGGTGATCCTCTGGGGCCTTTGTGGCCATCCACCGACCGGCATCTCCAGCTTCATTGCTTGGGCTAACTCTGAAGGCTAGGCTCGACAGGAGCTGCCGACAAGAAATCGGCTTCCGTCCAGAAACCCCCAAGCGTGCTCTTGGCTTTTGGTTTGGGTGATTTGTAACAACCAACATAAACACTGGTGAGAAGTGAGGCTTCAAGATTGCCGAGAGCTGGAGCATCAAACCTCAGCGTTGAAGTGCATTCCTGAAAGACATTTGATGGATAACAGCTCGATGAGCCACTGGGCGTTGGCTCGGGTTGGGTTGCTGTCCGGCTTCCACATTCCAGTGCTTCAATATTGGAGGGCCTTCGATCCAATATTAACACCCCATCAATAATCGTTCTGGTGCTTTGAAGATTTGAAGGTCCGGAAGGGGTGAAGAGGGAAAGGAAAAGAACGATAAGCGAACGAACGAGAGGGCCAGAGGGCAGGAGGATCAAACTTCTGTGAGACCCTGGAAGACTTCCACAAAATGCCTCAAGAAACGCCTGGACATGTCCTCTGTCAGGTCTCTAAGCCCACAACCATGGCAGATGTATCCTCGCAAGTTGAGCACAGGACAGCCCTTACGAAAACCAGTTAGTGATGTAGAATTGACAAATGTTGTGTCCTCTGCTTGTGGCTTCAGCAGGTTGGAGTGTCTGATTGCACAATGCTGTGCATTGGTCTCCAACCTTTCATCTCACTGGAATTTCAATCAAAAGAAGTAGTAAAAAAGGGATCCTGATTGACAGAAGCAATGAATTTGCAAGCTCATGACAGACAACAAAGCGGGTCTAGCCTTTTCTTTTTCTCAAGATCCTTCGTGTGCGAAGCAGCGTAGAGAAAGTACCTATAAACAGATTCGGTGCAGCTTAGCAGGGAACGCAAATCTCTGAAAGTGACAGTTCCCAAAAATGTAACACATGAGCACCTCATCTTGGTGCTAATGTCCTCCAAGTACTCACTCTGGGAAGGCTCGTCCAGAGAGGAGTAGTAGCTGAGGCGATGAGAGGAACGGAAAAATCAGCTCTCAAACTCTTTGGATGAAAGTTCGGGTGTCATGGTTGAAAGCAAAATAACAAACAATTACTGACATGAAGTAAAGTCGATCGTTAAGTCGATGGGACCAACAGCTACCGATTGGAGAGATTCCAACCTGCTTTCTCCACGCATTGATTGAAACATCATCTTCCCCCCACTACTGTTGGGCCATTGCTTCTAGCTTGGAGGCCATCGCTACTAGGTTGGAGGCCATTGCTACTAGGTTGGAGGCTCCATGATAACCAATTGCCGCACCTTCGCTCCCAGCGCTTGACGCCACGGAGGACCAGCTCGTCCCGGCGCTTGACGCACTTAATGAAGCGAATCCTCGGACAGCTATCGGAAAGCAAGTCTTTTCTTTGCCAGTGCAAAACATGCAAGTTCAGCCAAACTAATGCTATAATATGCTATATATACAAATTATATAAATATAATATAATGCTATAATATGCTATATGAATATATGAACACTGCATTTATAGAACTCTCGTAAGCTAGCAGGGCCAGGCGGCCAGGAGCAAAGATGATGTTTAGATCATTCCAGCCGTGCTGAGCCAGTGCAGGTGATGAAAAATACATGAGGGCCTGAGGCCCTGACCAATGCGGTTTGCAAATTGTCATCCGTGAATAAGGATGATTCGCATTTTCATTCTCAATTCCCTGACGGCCACCCAGTGGTCAAAACAACCATGAAGGGGGAAAAAAAAACTTCTGTTCACTTATATAAAACATTGCGAACTCAAAAAATGAAAATGACTGCCTGCCATGCTAAGCATGTTGACCAAAGGACCAAAGGAGTCTGCACACAGCTTTCAATGTGCCTTGTCAATACAGCGGTCAAGGCTGCGGAAGACTGTGTCACAAAGGCTGATGTCCTGATGTCACAAAGACATGCTGAGTCCGCAAGCAAATGTCCCGTCAACCCTGACACTGACTTGAGCAGACTGAAAAAGTATCAATAGGCTTGGCGATGTGATTCACGATATCAAAGACACAAAGCACAGCAAGCACATGGAGGCTCTCCTTGGGGAGTTCCTCGACACCCATCATGGTGGGAAGGATTGGGAAGGTCATCCTGTCCTCGCACTCAAAACACGAAACAAATCCCAATTGAAGTCATCCATAACCTTGCGGCATGTGAAATATGGCACAGCTTATCCTTGCGCAAGGGCACATCTAAGTACATGTCAAGTCATATCCCAAACACTTGTCAGATCTCTTGTCACAAAATCAAAATGAAACCCATAGCAGCAACCTTGTAGGCGTGCATCTCAGTCCAAGTTAACCCATGACCTCTGCGAGTGAAAGCTTGAAATCTGGCATATTCAAAATCCCAGCTAGAGGTGGAGCTTTTTCATTATAGTATTTGGCTCAGAAAGAAAGAGGACTGGCTTCCCCAAGCTAACAACCTCCCCACCAAGTGGAAGACGTCAGCTTTGCACATGATGAATGATGATGCTTGTAGGCGGGCCAGCATCCCCTCAAATAAGGCTACACAGACTCGCTGAGAGTCCGGCGTTTCTCTGCACTGTTGAGGCGTGCCTTCTCAGGCTCCTGTCAGCGGTGGAATCCTCTTCCAGAAAGCGCAATCACAAATTCCGCAAGGCCACATCAACCCAAGAAAACACTTGGGTCAAGTCTCCAATTAAACATGATGAACTGTCGCAACTGTGGGGTTTTGCATGAAATCTTCATCATCATGCTGTGATTCACAAGGTCACACAATGCAAAATAATCCTTTCCGGAAAAAGAAACAATAGCATCCAACAAATTCATTGTAGTAGAGGCAGACATGCAAAAACAATCCTGACAAAACGTTTGTCGCCTACTTCCCCACGACCTGCGGCATATTTCTGTTCTCCTTGACCCTTGTTAGATTGTGTGGTTTTGCATTGATGTAACACACACACAGAGAGATGTATACAAACATGTAACGATGCGTGTACGTATATGTAATCTAATATATATATATATATGTGCAAAAATGGTGATGTGTAAATGCAAGTGTATGAATGTATATCTACATAGTATTTGTTCAGGTGCGAACTGCCAAGGTTACGCATGACACAAAATCAAGGTGGGAAACGTGCAGCACTTGCACCTGTACCCCTGTTCTTGGCAGATTTCCGTCGCCTCAGCTTTACTTCCATACGTTTACGGTTCAATTACGAACTGGTGAGGAAGTTGTAACAAGTTATATACTGAACCATTGCTTACTCAAACAAACCTATGAGACATGGAAATGGTGCAAGGCGTCACAATCAAATTCTTATCAGCAGCAGCTGTTCATCCACTACATGCAGGTTTTTGCAACTCGCCTGCTGCCGACCAAGGACTCGTTTTACTGTACCACGTTCCCCTGCAAAACGAAAAAACTCTTGACAAAGACTAAGTTTACACACTGCATGGCATTGAGCAACATCAAATCGAAATGGCCATGGACTACTGTACTCTTGAACTCTCCTTATCTAAAGTTCTAAAGAACCTTGCCACTCCGACCTGAATCCCGTTCTCTCGCATTTTCGGCCATCAAACCTGCAAAGCTTCGCATCACGAGTGGCATGTCTACTGACTAGCACACAAATGGACCTCGAGAATGTGCGAACTACGCGATCAAGTTGGAGCGCTGCACTGGAACACAAAAATGTCCCCAGAGCATCGATGGAGGTTCTGTTGTTTTGGTCCTATGATGTGATTTGGCATCCAGCCCAGCCCACAAGTGATCTTTTACATGTTGTGTGCCATATATTAAATATATTTTTTTTAATGTTTCTTTAGTTGCTCTTTTTGGCATAATGTTTGCTATTGAGCCGGAAGGATGATGTCTGGAAATATCAGACCATGGATTTGGAGTTGTTTCCCCCCAATCGAAACCAACATGTTCGGCCCATACGCATGTGTTCAAAGCAAACCCTCTCCGATCGCATCATTTTTCGCATCCAACACACATCTCATATAAAACAAACGGGTTGCGATTGGACAGGTGTTCGGTCAAGTGTACAGGCACAGCCACAGTGAACGAACACACACCAGAGCGCACCACAAATGACCACCAAACACAACACAAAACAAACACAACCACAACCAGAGAACCAGGCACTCAAAAAGGGAACTTGCAATTGAAAGTAATCCAAGATCTCACCGCGGTGAACGGTTAAAGAGTACGGGCATGACTCACCGGGTAATGATCTTGACATATACAGCAACGATTCTGCCCACAAACCGAAGAGCCGCAGATGAATTAGCACATGGGATGTCCAATTACTTTGGAGGTTTTTTTCAGCAAAACCAAAATCAAACCGAATTAGTGAAACCGGAATCAAACTGCATCTATGCAAAACGACCCGCTCACTCCAAGACTGAGGGTTTTGAAATGTGATGCGGCTAAGAAAGAATTTTTTTGATGTCGGTGGTCACGCACGTGGCTTTCACTGACCGCTGCGAGGTCCAGGGCTCTGCTAAATCAGGAACAAGGTTTCGTAATTTGAGTTTCTTTGCCACCGAACCTGTGATTGCGCAGTTCTCGCATTTTTCACCACATCTTTGTGTGGTTTGTTTCCTTGCAGCAACTCCTTCCTCCTTCCTCCGTCCTCCGTCCTGCTTCCTCCAGCCCTTGCCCCTTCCCCTTGTTTTCTGTGTTTTTTGTGCTCTTCTGCGATGTTTCAACAAATCATGGTTCCGAGACAACGAAAGATTGTCTGCTTTCAGCTTTCACCAATTCTGTGCACAAGCTGTGTTCGCACGACCAAAGAACGGAAGGCCGCTTAGCTAAGGCATATTTTCGGCCGAGCCGCTGGTCTCCATGTCTCATGATCCATCTTGGTCAAGAACACAAGTGCATGCCACAGTGCAGCTGCCAGTTGTGCAGTTTTTGGAAGAGAGTGCCCTTGCACAACCACCGAACCTGTGCCGCAAGCCATTACAAGCAAAATATCTCGCAACTTTTTGACTTCAGCTGGAGTCAAAGGATCATCCAAAGCCTGCCTCCGACTTGGAGTGTCGTCAGAGGCTTCAGTTGTGCGGGATGTGTCAAGAGTTGTGCAGCCTTTCATTGCACTGTTTTTGGAATGGTTCTGAAAACGGTTTTGGTGACAATCTAACCTGGAAAAAATGGAAAGAATCTGGGGTCTACAAAGGGTGACTGACGTGCCAAAAGCACACCAATCAACAGCCACACGTGGAAAAACCCAGCACTGCTGACTGGGCCACGCGAGAGGCAAAAGTCCAAAACCCGCCGACACCAGCACTCCCTGGGGGGGGGGGGAAGTGGGAGTTAGCAGGGTAAGACCACTTTGGGCGAGTAACCCTCGAAGAATGGAAAGCAGAATTCCTTAAAAGAAATGTCTACACAAAGGAGTCAAAAGGGGAGAAAGAAAGAACCCCGGCTCAAGTGGAAGAGTCGGCAAGCTCTGCTCTCCGGCGGAGAACTGCTCACTGCAAGCTCTTCTCCCCCCTTCTGCCTCCACAAAGCGCATCTTCTGAAGAGTGGAGTGTCCATTTCAGGTTTTGGTAAAAAACCGAATCAGTCAAGTTGTCCACCTTCACCTCCTGTCACGATCACAGGTTTGTTTGGAGCGGCAAGCCTCATTTCGCCTTCACCTCCACCAGCGCCGATTTATCGAGTTGGTGCAGGCACGATACTGGAAGGAGCAGGAGCAGCCCTGGAACCTCAGAGAATGCAAAGAGTTTGTCGAAACAATTTTCATGATCAATCCTGGATTTACGTGGTCCCTTCTCTCACAACTGTGATGGATCGCTGCCTGCTGACACATCCCTAAATGTGAGCAGTCGCTCCTCCCTGCAGTCGTGTCTGACCTTGAAGAAGAAACAAGAAAAGACACTCACAACGCGCCTTTCCTGCCGCACACTTGAGCCCAACATGTTGCCGTCGACATATATTGACAGAACCCGGAATGTGTTCCTCATGGTTCTCAACTGTTCGGTAAACACCCAAAGCATTCCCTGACTGTTAAAAACGAAAAGCTGTTCCATTTCGAACTCACTGCACAAAGTTTGCGCACATTCAGTTCCCGCACTGAAGCAGGGCAAGGAAGGCATGGACGGCTCTACATTGGAGACCACTAGTCTGTACACCGTGCGCACGCTGCCTCCTGGAGTTCATCGGAAAAGTCCCTGGCCACTTGCAGATCTTGATCCCTTCCTGATCGTAAAGCATGTGAATTAAGTCTGAATGACTGGTTTTGGTGCATTGGCTTCAAGACGGCCTGCTGATCTGGCAAAGTGATGGTGTCCAGCAGCTTGGTTGGGTTGCAACAGAAACCAAGCGAGCGCAAACGTGAGCAATCTTGTTTTGCCTGATCCGAAGACTTCTCCAACTGCCCGCTCTTGAGACCATTGTCGCGTCATCCGTGGCCAACAATGATGGAGGCCCCTCTCAGTGGTGCTGCTGGCCCGTTTCCACAATGTTGGAGCAGCCGCAAACCTGAGCTTCCTTGTCCAATGCAGCATCACAAACCATCAACATCTCCCCAAATGCGCAGTTCTGGACTTTGAAGGGCCATTCACATTCGCCGACCAGGCTTCGGCTGGCTGAGCGACCGCTGCCGTTCAAAGAACTCTTCCACAGAAGAAGCTCAGTAGGACATGGATGTCAAGAAGAGTGTTTGTCCCCCTCCACTCCGCGACGACCCATGTTTTGTTATTGAAGAAGATCCAGGTGGAGTTGCGGACAATCAACGACAGCAATTAGTTTCTGGCCAGTTTGGAGTTCAAAAACCCCAGGAAAAACCCGTCTCGCCACAGGCTTCCCCAGTTCAACATGTGTGCACAAATGTAAGGTGTGGAGCAAGCGCGCTTGAGGCATGTTTTCTTGTGTAAAACACAGCGTATAGCACACGTGTACAGGGTATGGCTCACCAAGTGCTTGTTTTTTCAGGGAATTTTCGTTTTCAGAATGCTTGGAGTTGGAGCTGAGTGGATCTTTTAAGCAGGAGGATGTTTGAAGTGGCAACTTGTGGCTGGAGAAGAGTGGGCAAGCTTAAGAGAAGCTTTGAGAACGGTTGGGACAGCCTACACCGACTGTGACTGTGGCTGTGGGTTTGAGGCCATCTGTTAGGCAGCTCGCATCTTTTGTGCCGAAAGCGCTCACGAGTATGTATGTGTATCTGTACATGAGCAAACCTCACATCTAACAAGACTACATGTAAAAGTGAAAATCCCTAACACGCCGCCTCAAAATGAGACGTCCAAGTCCTCGTTTTGCGACTTGGTTTGCTCTTTCTTAGACCGTTGAGTATCGCTTCGTCTAAGCGACCACAGGTAAGTCCTCTCAACAGTCTGCTTTGTACATAGCCCATATGTACTGTTCCGGCAAGAATTTTATGCCATTTCCACAAAACTTGTTTGTAAATTCACCTTAGTATCAGGTGGTTCAGCTGTTACACCTGTACTTTTCGTTGTGCGCAATACGTGGTTCAGATGTTACACGTATTGCTTCGTGGGTTTCATACCAACCATGCAAATTGTATTGAATTGTAAACTCAATGCTGAAACTTTGAATTGCTTTGTCCACTGCAATCAACTATCTGTGGATCCTCGAGGTCTCTGATCTTCATCACTTTCAGTTCCTGATGGTAAGTAGTGAAGACTTACCCACATATCCGGGTCAGAAACTTCGCTCATTGTAGACCTCAAGTACCTTGCTATTCTTGTATCTTCACTTTCGCCACTTGATTCTTCACCATTTTCTTCTTCTCCTTCTTCATGGTCTGAGTTGTCTCTGTCTGGTCTTGCTATTGCTTGCGCCGCCTCACTTGCACTCCCAGTACTGCGTCCAGGAACTCGATCTGGTCGAAAATAGCCATCACTTTCCTCCATCCTTTCGAACAATTCTGCAACTCTCTCACTTGGTTCAGCTCCTGGTTCTGGAAGTTCAGGAATGTCTGGACCTCTAGGACTCTCTCCATCGACCGACAAGTCCGTCATCGATCGGCAGAAATGGTGTGCTCTCAATCTTGCAATCTCTCCAGGGTTCGCCTCAAGGATCAACAATGTCGACCTCAAAATTTCTCTTCTCTTCCAATACTTCTTCTTTTCCTCCTCCGACATTCTTCCAGCTCTCCTCTCTATTCGTCTCTCCACTCGCCCCAGCATCCAGTAAGTGAACCACTCTGGAGACCATGGTTCCCATTTCCCAGGTGGTTCTAGGGGCATTGGCGGAAACAAAGGAGGTTGAGGCTCAATCTCTCCTGCTGGTCGTCCAGGTCCATCTGAACTGCTGGCACCTGGTTCGATATTGTCGTTGCCAACCACCATTCTTCTTGTTGTTTCTGGTTCAGGCTCCTCCTCATCTCTTTCATTATGCCGTCTCTTCCTTCCTCGTGGTCCAAATCTGGCCACCAGCACATGCCAATTGTTGTGAACCCAATTGCACAATGCTATAAGAACCAACACCAACAATGTCAAATAAAACTGTTGACTGTTGTCCTGTTCGACAACCTCGTCGGAACTGTGTTCCAGACATCCCTTCAGGTTCATTGCTTGCATCATCATGACACACTGTGCAAATAATCGGCTAGATTTGTTCTTTGTCCACCTCGTCACTTGCCTCACTTGATTCTTCCATTGCTGCTCCATGAAATATGTTGTCTGCTCTTCTTCTCCAATCCTTTCCAAAATCGTATTGTCCTCACTGATTCGGATTGCACCCATGAAAGAAA